CCTGGTTTCGTCAGTGTTGATGTGTAATGTGATAGAGACCCTGGTTGAAGGAAGCTCCTTGTTGTAATGGTTTATACTCATTAGTGGACCAGGATGTGTGTTGTTGTTTTTTCGTTTGTTTTTGTTTTTTTAAAGGGGGGGTTGGGGGGTATTTTTTAAAATTTAATAATATATTTTTTTACCATTTTTTGAAGAATATTTACAGGACATAAAAGAAATTTGTTGTAGTGTAGCCACTTGTCTATCTCTTATATCTATATATAATATAGTTCGCCAGCAAAGGTCAAACACCACCACACAGGCTATATATAGATACGCCAGAGTGTGGTTAAATAATGAGTTCACTAGCGCGCAAAATATAATTCCCGATAACTACGCTAAATGATATGTATCTATTTTTAATAACGCAATTGCGTTTGGTGCGTAATATTTTCTTTTCGGAAATGAAATCGTCTCAATTTAATCATTGTGTAAAAAAATTTCGGTTTAAAAAGTGGTTGGGACATGAGAATATTAATATGGTTAATGGGTGTAAAATAAAAAGTGTGCAGTGACGTATCATGGGGGAAGGGGTGTAGCAAATATTGGGATTCTTAAATGTGCGTTTCTGCGACGGATGCTACGTCGCGGGCTGACTAGTATATATATATATTATGCTTCTGGTGTGACTCGTGGACTGCTTCCTAATCAGAGAATTGGGTATTCAGAGTATATTACAAATAATTCTAAATGTATTAAAAGAAAGTACGGTTCAATTAATAAGTTCAGTAGTCAATAGCGAGAAAAATATAATTCCCGATACCTAAGCTAAATGATATATTTTTTGTTACATAACGTTACTGGGTTTGGTGCGTAAGATTTTCTTTGCGGAAAATGAAATCGTCTTAATTTAGGTATGAGTATGACAGATAAAAATATTCGGTTTAAAAGTGCTTAGGACATCAGAATATTTAATAGAGTTCATGGACTTGAAATAAAAAGTGTGCAGTGACGTATCATGGGGGAAAGGGGTGTGGCAAATATTGGGATTTTTAAATGTGGGTTACTTGACTCAAGGGACGCCTCTTTAAGAACTCAGGCTTGAGTTCATGTTTTGGAAAGTAACTTTAGTAGATGGGAAGTTCACGCATTGCTGTCGCTAATGTTTGGCGGGCTATATCTAGTTACTATTTATTATTATTATTATTTTTTTTTTTTGTTGTTGTTAACACTGTTTACAATTAGTGGCCGATCTGACGAGGGAATGGATGAAATAAAGGTAGTAAATGCGAAGAGATGGCACAGCGTTTTTTTTTTTTTTTTTTTAACATGGCTGCCATCTTGGTAGAATACATGTATTATGTGTATCCAAGAGGTAGACCCCGCCCCCCGCGACAAAACAAAGACACAAAAGAAACGCAAACGTAGACTTACACCACTTAAGTTGTTTCAAAAGTTTCGTTAAAATACAATTTCCGGCTTCGAATTTTAAGGGACATTACTTTTATAAGCAGTCGGGTATGATCATAATTCGTGCTCACCTCCCTTGCCTCAAAAGAAAAACAAAAAAACAACACAGTTTATGACTTTGCCAGATCGAACACAGCGATAGGTGCGATTACATTATAACGTGACGGGCCGGGAAGGTGCAGGTAGCAAGTCGAAGAACCAGGCAGTTGTCTAAATAAATGATTTCTCATGCCAGTCACGTGACTGCTTAATATCACTCATGCTAGCCACCTGGCCCTCTCCTAATCCCGTACATAGAAATCTGGCTAGTAATTGTATAAACCGAGGTGTAAGAACGATCTGATTATGACGTAGGGGATTAGGTGGCACTTAGCACATTTTAAAAGCAACTGCTTCTCGGCTAAACGTGAAGAATTTAAATTAGGACGTCAAGGTTACCATCAATGTCATGACCTTTTCATTTTTTTCGACGAGTCATCAAATCAATAACACAAAACATAATAAAAATACATTATACTTTTAAAGGGTGTTTTTAAGATTAAGATGCCCGGCTGTATTTGTAGGCCTAATTGATTATGATTATTAAACTTCTCAGCGCCCTAACTCACTTCTTATACTACAGCATTATTGATTACTTAGACGCATTCAGAGTTGAAATGTTTATGGGCGTTAGAATTGTGTTGAAATATTTATTTATTATTGTTCTGGGGTGGGGGCATAAGGTGGAAAGCGAAAAAAAGATGGGTGCGGGAACAAAATGGAGATATGAGAAATGTTAATTTCTTTCTCATATTTGGGGCGCATGGAGTATGCGTTTAGGTGCATCCCGCCAATGATAACAACGTGGCACTGATGAAATTCTAGGCAACCGTTTCGTCCCAGCCACTAGCACATTAGGCCAAGTGACAAGCCGCATACCACCAGAGTGACCGAGCGACACCAAGCAAACTTGCTTTTTAGTGTACAGCCCTTAATGTTAAATGTGGGCATACTCCCTAGTGTGTTGCCATGAGGTGGGTTTTAACCCTAGTGTATTGCCATGACGTGGGTAGTATCACTAGTGTATTGCCATGAGGTGGGTAGTATCACTAGTGTGTTACCATGAGGTGGGTTTTATCACTCGTGTGTAGCCATGAAGTGGGTATTATCACTAGTGTATTGCCATGAGGTGGGTTTTAACACTCGTGTATTGCCATGACGTGGGTAGTAGCACTAGTGTGTTGCCATGAGGTGGGTATTAACACTCGTGTATTGCCATGACGTGGGTATTATCACTAGCGTATTGCCATGAAGTGGGTAGTATCATTAGTGTATTGCCATGACTTGGGTATTATCGCTAGTGTATTGCCATGACGTGGGTATTATCACTAGTGTATTGCCATGAAGTGGGTATTATCACTCGTGTATTGCCATGAAGTGGGTAGTATCACTAGTGTGTTGCCATGAAGAGCACGTTAAGTATAATTTGAGTTGGGTGCTAGCTCTAGTATTATGCCCGGGTTGGGATTATTCATGCTTCGAGATTAAATTTATCACTGGTGATAAAAACTGTACACAATTATTCAAGTGAAGTTTAGAACAATGTCATGTTGTGCAGCCCCCCCCCCCCCCCAATAACTGTCCCATTAGAGAAGGGGCAAATCACTATTCCTTTCAACGCGCGATGTACATTCCCAGGGAGAGTTAAAGTTGTTAATGATCTAAATATGAGAAACCCTCCTTTAGCCCGGATATTTGTCCACTTGGGAACAAGAAGAGGATCACGTAAGGGGCTATCCACGCGACACGGCCTTCGAAGCAAGTTCGTTTGGACAGTGAATAGCCTTACGCCTAACGCATGTGGTGTACACTCCCGTTTTCTCCCTGTATGATTGTTGCATTGCACCAAAAGTCTTTTAAAAATCTCCCCTGTCTTATCATACCTTTCAAAGTCCCATCTTTGAATTGGGGAAACTGGACGCCAGAGGAAAAAGGCCCGTGTTTCATACTACTGAAATGTCACTCGGGCAGAACAGAAATTCCCTTAACACCCACAAGTCTGGATGACTATGCCAAATCCAATACCGTTGCGAGTAAGGAAGGCTTTTAAAATTCTCACGTAGTCATGCATGACGTCAGCTGTTTATTTCATAAAGTTTTTATGTCAACACAAATTCAAACAATTATTTCTGTCATTTGTTCGACTGTTTATTTGAAACGGGTTAAATCGATATGTGTATAAGTATAAATTAAATCCGTAGGGACATTGGCGATGATAGAAATAGTGCTGTCCGGGGCAAACCAATAATTTTGCCGCCCTTTGCCACGAAAAAATCCATCCATATCACCGAAAATAGTGCCCCTCAATATAAAGAAAACTATGCCGCCCGGAGCAGTGTGACCCCTTACTACGTCACTGGGAACAGTAGAAACTGTATTATTATTAAATTAGATACCATTGTTCTTATGTTATTGACTCTTCCTCCCGGGGTGGTTGGTGGAGTGCATGGGAACCAATTAATTTTTTGGATTACCATTTTTCATTCGTGTGTATAATAAACCCTAATCTCAAGCAGTACATTTTCAGTATTAATCCTAGAGTAAACAAAAGAAACTTAAGATGGAGCTCAAACAGCACAATGCGTGACACGGATGTGAATCGTTTTGCCCAGTTTGCATATCTAGGACTAGTCGCTTAATGTGCCTTAAAGTTCGCCTGTGGTCCAATACTTAGCCCCGTCACTTACCAGTGGTCCTCACAACGGGACTTTGCCATTACTAAATAGACCATTACTAATCTCAATGCAAGCCTTTTTAGCTATTTTTACATTAAAGTTATTGTAGTTATTAGGTGGACGAGCCTATTTAGTTAATTTTTTAGATTTAACATTTGTAAAGTAGCCTAAAGGTTTTTAACGCAGCGTTATGAGTTACACTTACAAATATTTGTTGAAAGTAAGAAAGATTTTTTTTAAAACATAGACTATCTTTCAACATTTATAATAAAAAAAAGTCCGGTAGTACTTTTGCTTAGATTTGAGAATGCTTATACTTATTGACTTATAATCCTATATTATATTCTTATCTTAGTATCTTCATATAATTAAATAGTTAATTTATACGTTATAATTTGAATTTCCTCTAAAATTGAAGAAAAGATGAAGAAAGAATATCTCACAGAAGTTTTTAAAAATATAATCTCATTGATTTTTCATATTTATATTGTGGATGATTATATGCAAACTTTCTCGTTAAACATATGTTTGTATATTATCTAAAATCCATACATTAGTCTAATTTAGTCCCACCCCCTTGTTACCTTGAGACTTAAACTATGGGTCTACTTGACCTCGCCATGTATTTCGTAGAGTATGACCAAATTTATAGAATATGTCAAACTTTAATTATATAAACATGCTTGAATATAAAAAAATGTAAATAAAATATTTGTAAAAATATTATGAACAGATACATGTATTTTATTAATTTACTGCCTGGTATTTTTCACAGCAATATTAACGCTCTAATTAATAAAAAGCCAAAGTGGCAAAGAAGGCCGACACTAGTTGACCGACCTTGAAGGTCAAGGTGAGTTTCCAGTTTACAGAAAGCGAACACAGACTGCATATACATATGTATATATGCTGGCCTTGCAATAGGAAGCAGAGGACTTGTTCGAGGGGCTTCATTTTTTTATTGCATTTGAGTCGTGTTACCCGCAAGAATCGACCCTAATTTTACGGTCTGACGTTGCTTTTTAGCTGAGCAAGAATGACTTCGAAACAGCATGACACCGACAGGCGTAAGCAAATTAGTATCAGGGGGATTGCGCCTGTGGAAAATGTAGCAACCATTAAAAAATCATTCAATAGGCATCTTCACTACACACTTGTAAAGGACAGAAATGTTGCCACCCCAAGAGATTACTACTTCTCTCTTGCATATACAGTTCGAGATCATCTTGTTTCACGATGGATTAGGACCCAGCAGTATTACTATGAGATTGATCCCAAGGTAAGAAAAAAACCACAATAATAAGCCTTTTTAAAAACATAACAATAACAGTTATTAACTTGCAAATTATAAGCCAAATTAATATATTATGTATTATATTATTATATAAAATTATATTACTAACGAACACTATCATTTATTTTATATTAAAACATTGTCATCATTTTAATAGCCTCTACTCAAGTAAATAGGCAATAGTATCAATACCGGTGGGTACACTGACAATGAATAGTTTGAGTTTGGTCTACTGACAATGTCAATACATTTGAATTTGATTAGTCATTAGTAAAATGAGCTAGTTCTCTATCTATACAGTAGTCAGTAATGTCAATGTCTTTTTGCAGTAATGTCTAAAATCCAGTAAGTTCAAGTAAAAAATTCACCCCTATTGTCTAGGCCTAGGCTTTATTTATTTTATTATATTATATGTCAGTAGGCCTATTACTATTTAATACTATTTATTATTATTAGGAGTATATTACTTTAGCTTTGCTATTATAGACTATGTCTTTATTATAGACAGATCATGATGATATTGCCATGTCTTTGGCTTTACTTATTATAATGTATAGCTATAATATACTATACAAATTATACAAAAAATACTGTGACATCAGACCAGTGTATACACAACAAAGATCAGCAGATATCACATAAAATAATAAAAAAAATAATTTAAAAGATTGTTGGCCCCTGCGAATGGGTTAATAATAATATGAATATGATTTATCCAATTGTCATTGAGTCACTGCCGTTGGCCTTAGACTTTTTATGTTTTTTGTTTGGTTATTTCCCCACTATAAATTTGGTATGCATTAACCTTAGGTGATTGGTGTGATATGCCACCTGGTGCTTCTAGATACTATAGTCTCATATAAATCATACTAATATGATTCATTTGAAATCTTTTTTATGTGCATTTAAAAAGCTTGAGTATCATGCTATAATGTAAAATAGATTGTACATTGCTTTTATATGATCCAGATTTATGTTTAAAAAAAAGTCTGTTGGTGGGGGGTGGAGGTTGACAGTTATGATGAATCTGAAAGAAATGTAAGTCTTGTAACAAGGATATTATTTAAAATACATAAAGGTGTAGCAGGAACATTTGAGGTAAGCCAGTTAAGGTTGTGCGTACACACACACACACCCCCCTCAATAAAAATCAGAAACTAAATAATTTCTACCACTCTGTTAAGAAAAAAATTTAAGAAAAAAAGTATCAAATAAATGTATGACCAGTAGTTGACCTGGGAAACCTCCATGACCTATATACACCGGACGACATGGCTGGCTCTGTCTCTAACTGTATTTTAGTCAAATCCTTTATAAAATGTAATATCCATCAATGGGGGGTGGAGCTGAAAATTTGACTAAACATGCAAACAAGTAACACACTTAATAAAAATCCCAATTTATCCCCCCTCCTCGCAACAGTACATTTTTTTCATGCCCCTTAACTATAGTCTTATTCTAATGACTCTCACCGCAGATTTATTACACCAGCTATTTCAGAAAAACAAAAGAAAATATTACGCACCAAACGCACTTGCAATATTTTTTTTAAAAAGAAACTCATTTAGCTCAGTTATTGTGAATTTTATTTTGTGAAATTAGTGTCATCATATTTCCTTTATCTTCCCCTTAAATAACAGGAGAAACTGATTTTTTGGGGTTGAGGTTGAAAATTTGAAAGAATGCGTTTTGATTGGCAACGAGTCTACATGCCTAGTTACAGCTCAATAGGTAGACAGGAAGTGGGTCATTTAGCTGTCCAAAGATTTTGCTATCTAGCCAGAAACACAAACAAAAAGAAGATAACATAAAGGATTTTTTAAAAAAATCTTTCCCCTATTTAAAAATTTTAAAGTAATAATTTTAGTTCTATTTATGAACGTGTAGGATATTCATTATGGTAGGCACTTTGTTATTGTCAACTTAGATAATGCCTTTTTGTTTAAAGCAGTACACTCATCAAAGGCGCATTCCAGCCATGTCTGAGGATGGAGGATGATAAAACAAGAATTGGATATTATTGATTTTTACAATAAATTTCATTTGTCCAGTTTGATGTGAATATTACAAAACGCATCTGGCGTGTCTGATGGTGACGACAGAGAAAGTATTGGCAATGGTTGCATTCAAAGAGTAACAATGTGTTTAAAAATATTCTTTGAATCCCCAGAAATGTGTCCTGTTTAACACATCTCTAAACAAGGACATGGTTCTGAATTTAATGGCGGTGATGTTTAAATTGATACTTGTGTGTCAAAAGACTTTTTCTGTGATGAAATGTGATCTGTGTTAGCAGAGCAGGGACAAACTTTTGATCACAGTTTTTCTGAAATGGGGCCAGATTTTTTAATACTTGTGATCAAATAAATTCAAACAGCTTCACCCTTGACTCTAACTGCACACTATTTTGTAGGCAGTTTTCATCCTATTTTTCACTAGGATTGATATTGTAATCACTTGGCTTTTGTTTTTGTGTATGTAACTGGCCTGTCACATCATTCAAGATCACAAAAAAAAACAAGTTTTTGCACATCCCTGAAATTGATGGTAAAAAAATATGTAACATTTTAACATTATTTATTTTAATCATTTAAAAAAAATTTTAAGCTATTATACAAGATTGTCCCCTTCCTCCGCTTTTTTGTTTTACACATTATTTATAATGCATTAGTTTATTTTTGATCTTTAAAATATTTCAGAGAGTTTACTACTTGTCTTTGGAGTTTTACATGGGACGGACACTATCCAACACAATGGTCAACTTGGGAATTCAGAGCTCCTGTGATGAAGCCATGTATCAGGTACGGTTCGCATGTTCTTCAATATAACCATTTGGGATATAACTTTGACTTGAGCTAATTGATACCTTTTGGTATGTGGCATCTAAATTTCCCATGTAGACTGTAAGAAATAAACTTGAATAACAAAGAGATTTTATTTCAACAAAAAAGCCAACTTATTGTGTATGAACATATCTTGATCCAATTACATTTCTTTAGTAATTGTTTTTATCTGAGTCGACGATGTCTTATTACTTTAAAAAATAAATGTTTAATTCCTAGCTTGGTCTAGACATAGAGGAATTGGAAGAGATTGAACAGGACGCAGGGCTCGGTAATGGTGGCCTTGGTCGCTTGGCAGCCTGTTTCTTAGACTCCATGGCTACACTTGGATTGGCTGCGTATGGATATGGTATACGCTATGATTATGGCATCTTCACACAGAAAATTGAAAATGGATGGCAGGTTAGATTATACATTTAACATGTTCTTGTAATGCATACATTTAATGTGTTCTTGTAATGCTTCCTCTTAACTTCTTCATAACTTATGTTAAAGTCATAATTTATGTCATCTATTATCTCTAGAGTAGGGATGGACAAACCTTTTGTGCAGCAGGCCACATGGGAATTTCTTTGACCACAGCATCATAATTTTAAACATATGTCATAAAAGATGGGCTACCAAAATTTATTCTGAGTTGAGTTCTCAAAGAAGAAGTGGAATAATTTTTTAAAATTTGCTGTGATTTTATTTTTTTACATTTGTATGCTGAGATTATTAATTTTCAAAGGCTTTTCCACATAATTTTTTATAAATTTAATTTTTTACAAAAACATTAATTCAGACTTTAATTCAGTTCTTGGAAGGTCTTGTGGGCCACATTAAACATTTCAATGTGCCACAGATGAACCGCTGGCTGCAGGTTGCCCACACCTGATTTAGGGGATTATTTTGATAGTAGGAGATATTTTTCATGAATGTTTAGCATTATTTCATTTAAGGATGTTAATACAATGTTTTGGGGGGTAATCTCAACTTTAAACTAAAATTGTTTCAAATTCGATAATCATTAAAAAAAATATGTAAAGATTTTTGTTTTAAAAATTAATAATTTAAATCTGCTTATAATCCCTAATTTTCTTATTGAATTTATAGCTCAATATAGAGACTACTTAGTTGGTATACATAAAATATATTTTTGTCTTAAGATAGAAGAGCCTGATGACTGGTTGAGATTTGGCAATCCTTGGGAAAAATCTAGACCAGAATACTGTCTTCCGGTAAACTTCTTTGGACATGTAGAGAATGTCAATGGCAAGGACAAGTGGGTTGATACTCAAGTAAGAATTTTACTGCTAGAGATTTAAAATTTTGTTTCCATTAATAATGTTAACTCAGTGTTAATATTAAAAATTCATGTTACAAAATAATCAATTATTTTTTAGGGTGCAAAAATATTCACATCACATATTCGAGTTCCTGTGTTGAAGACACAACCTATAATTACTTCTGTTCCAGATAACATACATGCAAGAAAATACTGGTAATCTGTCTGTTCTTGCTTCTTTTTGATCAGTCTACAATTACTAATGCTTACACCACTCTAATTAATGAAAAATAATGCATTTTTGTTTAGGTACTTTTTGCAATGCCCTTTGACACCCCCATCCCTGGATACGGTAACAACACAGTTAATACACTTCGTCTGTGGTCTTGCAAAGCCCCAAACAGCTTCCATCTCCACTTCTGTAAGTTTGACTTTTAAGTTTAGCTGTTAAACTTTTGTGAATGCAAAGATGTACTTACACATTATTAATCAGCTAAAACTTATCAGAAATTACTTTTTTTTCCGTAATGATTTAAAAAAAATAAAAATAATTTTTGTAATTAATTTTGATACAAACACGCTGGTGCCACTTTTTCAGTTGGTCCAATTTTAATTAGGTACAATGCTTTTATTTTATGTCAGTTAACAATGGAGAGTACATCAATGCTGTTTGTGAAAGAAACTATGCTGAGAATATCTCCAGAGTCCTGTATCCCAATGACAATGTGAGTTTAAGAATGTAATTTAGGTTTTCACGTTGTTATTCTTTTGAATAACAAAAAAGCTGAGAGATAATTTTGTTTCACGGCTCAGCTCCAACATTTAAATTCAGGAATAGACTGAGCAGTGTCTGATGAAGTTGTTTTATGTGAATAATTTTAAATAAGTGTCATCTCTTCAAAATGCATATGATTTCCATAATTTTCTTGCAAGTTATCTTTTTGTTCATGAGGATGAATCACAAAATAATGGTAATTTCATTTATATAATCTATTAATGATTTTTATTATTTTTTTAAATAGTTTTACTTTTTTAATTATTATTTTTAAAAAATTCAATGGTCTCTTCATAAATCTCTTGCTATCCACATGTTTTTCATTTCATTATTTCTTATGTTATCTGTAGATGTTTGAGGGGAAAGAACTCCGCTTGAAACAGGAGTACTTCCTTGTTGCAGCATCTTTGCAGGATTTAATCCGTCGATTCAAATCATCTACCTTTGGACAAGCCAACCCTGCCAGAACCTCCTTTGACACTTTCTCAGACAAAGTGAGTACTTCAAGTGAAAAGTTGCAATTGTTGTGAAATGTAGTAAGGTTAAGCTTCCATCCATCCCTGTTGCACTACCAGACCTTTTTACCCTCAAACTCTTTAAAATCGTACAATATCATCACAAAATCGTTCAATAAATTATCTTAATAGTATAAAATAAACATACCCGTAACAGTAAATATGATGTATGTACCTCAAAATCGTACATTGTACGCCTAAATCGTAAGAGTGGCCTTCCTCACCACTTCCTTCCACTCAGACCTAATTCATACTTCTCTTTTCCATGCTTGGATTCCCAGCTGCTGTAAAACTTTTGCCACATCATCCATCCATCTAAGCCTAGGTCTTTCTTTGAGCCGTTTCCCCTGGTGTTTCGGTGGTGCATCCTCTTCACTCCTGTCATTTAGCATTCTTTCTAAGTGTCCCACCCAGTGTAGCCTGCCCTATTTTTATTTCTCCTACTGGGGTGTTATCCTGATGTAGACTACAATGTCTGGTTGGTTCGTATTTTCCATCCATATTCATCCGTTGTTGGTCCATATATTTTCTGGAGATTTTTTTCTCTCCTACGTGTTTATTAGGTTTTCAGTCCTTTTTGTTAGGGTCCAAGTTTCACTTGCGTTTTACATATAGTTTGTCTTCTAATGTTTTTACGTCTCCTAATGTTTTTACTTTTGAGCATTTTCTGAATACAGAAGTATGCCCTGTTTCCAGCCGATATTCTTTCTTTGACTTCTGTTAGTAATTCAGTTCTTTCATTTAATAATGATCCTAGGTATTTGAATTGATTTACATTTTCAAAAGTGTGGTTTCTAATTTTAATGCTTTTCATCTGTCTGTTCTTCTCTTAAGTTATGCTTACTGGAAATAAATTAAATGATACATTATTATGTGGACAATAGTAAATTCCCTACTGTCATCTGTTTTTTTTTGTATGGAGGTTTGACATAAGCCTAAATTTTTACGATTTAAAGTAAGGTGCATGCAATGAACAATTTTATTTATTTCTCAGGTTGCCATCCAACTGAATGACACGCATCCATCTCTGGCCATTCCAGAACTTATGCGTATTCTTGTTGACATTGAAAATGTTCCATGGGAGAAGGTTAGCAAGTAATATTAAGTCAAGTCTTGAGTTGTTTACATCAATTGGAAAAGAATTATAATATCTGATTTTGTAATCTCTTATTTGGACGATCAGTTTTATTGTTCTTTTGACTTAGTGTCATCCACATCTTAAATAAGAAAAAACATTAAAACTTATGTGAAACGGGTACACTAAATATTTTAAAATTTTAAGGCTAGAAATATGAGCACTTAAATATGAAATACGAAAAAATACAATATTGAAAAAATAGGGTCTAATAAGTTGTAAGCTGTAAATTTTCCTTTCATAGGCTTGGGAGATTACTACAAAAACATGTGGTTATACCAACCATACTGTTCTTCCTGAGGCCTTGGAACGCTGGCCTGTTGGCTTACTGGCACACGTACTACCCCGCCATCTTGCCATTCTGTATGAGATCAATGCCCGCTTTTTGAAAGTAAGTGATCGATTTGTTAAATCTGGTTCATGATGGTCATAGTTTTGTCTCCAAACATTTGAATACATTTAAAAGAAGTTGTTAATAAAAGTCCAGTCCTGACTTATCCATTTCACTGTCCATTGCAGGAAGTGGCCAAAAAATGGCCTGGAGACAATGATCGCCTTGCCAGGATGTCTATTGTTGAGGAAGGTCCTGAAAAGAAAATTAATATGGCCAATGTGTGTATCATAGGGAGCAAAGCTGTTAATGGTGTGGCTGCTATACACTCTGACATCATCAAGAAAACAACGTGAGTTTGGAGTTGAAGAAATGACTCCTGACTCACACATTTTTTTGTGACTTATTTTCTTTTTTAAAACGCAAAGCCTTTGAGAGAGGAAATAGCCTAATTGTAGACTGGTTAAGATATACTGAAACGTTTTCTTAATATAGAGACCTAATCCATATGTCTTTCAGACTTGTGATGGGAATAACATTGTATTCCAATGATGAAGTGTTATAATAATAATTATTGTTTTTGCTTATAAAAGTCAGAAGTGATCCAGATGAAAAAAGTCAGTGAGGTACAGTTTTACAGTTTTTAAATTCTTGCTATAAATTTAATTAGAGGGAAAAAAAATCTCCAACTTATGGTGTTTCTATTCCAGTTTCAAAGATTTTTATGAGATGTTTCCCAAAAAGTTCCAGAATAAGACAAATGGCATCACCCCTAGAAGATGGCTGCTGCTTTGTAACCCAGGGCTGGCAGACATTATTGCAGAGGTACAAATACTAATGTATCTTAAATACCTTAGTGCTTTTGTGGTGTAGAAGGCTAAATGATTAGCTTGGGATTTTCCAGAGTTTTGATCTAAGAGTAGAAAAATGTGGAAAGTACAACATAACCTTTTTCTAATTAGATTTTTATCTGTTTAGAAAATCGGTGAATCATGGGTGACCAATCTGACAGAGTTGAGGAAACTGACACCATCCTGCAAAGAGGAAGCTTTCCTGCGTAACTTTATGAAAGTGAAACAAGTAAGCAATCTACAAGAAGTGTATTATTGTCACAATTATTTTTATAGTTTGCTCTTCATATTTTATTGTTCATCATATGCCTACTGGGTTCAAACTTGCTGCTAATAACTTTGAATAGTGAATTATAAAATAGCTATTATTATTTAATTGACCACTTTGGATTGCATCTTTTTTTCGTTGCTGCTTTAGCAATAATTGTCCAACAGTAAATATTCACTTTAGGTTTATTCTTCATTTATTTTATACTATATATATTGATGTTTTATATCACAGGAAAATAAAATGCGCCTAGCCCAGTACATCCAGACCAACTATCATGTCAAGATCAACCCCGCCAGTATGTATGACATGCAAGTCAAGAGAATTCATGAGTACAAGAGGCAGCTGATGAACTGCCTACACATCATTGTATTGTACAACCGTCTCAAGAAGAACCCACAGGCCCAGTTTGTACCCAGGACTGTAATGATTGGTGGCAAGGTACGGAACGCTTAGAGTTATCTGGTCTTTGATGTTCATTAAAAATCAGTGTCTTCTCTTATAATTTTTAGATGGTTGTTGTTAGTTGATTTTAACAAATAATTCCCTATTGTTGAGTAAATACATTATGATTAATAATAAAACAAACAAAAAATTATAGTTTTTAATTATTGATCGAACTCTTGCATATGCCACATGGTGTTGTATTCATTGCTGATTAAAAATAATGAACGCCTGAAATTTCAAATTGTTTTTAAAATCTTTTAAAAAAGATTGAAAGTTTTTTTAAGTTAATTTAAATTATTATTTTGTTTAGTATAGCTTGATTTCAAACAAAACCACATGTCTCTGATTTCACAACCCCATTTGTCTAAATTTTTAATACAATATTTATCAACCCAACCTTTGCTATCTTGAATTTCATTTTAAAGAGTTGTAAGATAAGACTGTGTAAGCCTGGGACATCTCCAGATTATATACAAAAATAATTTATCTCTCATTAAGGCCGCCCCTGGGTACCACACAGCAAAGATGATCATCAAGCTGATCAACAATGTCGCCAAGGTGGTCAACAATGATCCAATTGTAGGAGACCGCCTGAAGGTGGTTTTCTTGGAGAACTATCGGGTGTCTCTGGCTGAAAAGATCATACCTGCAGCAGATTTGAGTGAACAGATTTCTTTGGCAGGGACTGAAGCATCCGGCACAGGAAACATGAAATTCATGGTTAGACTTAATTTTGATTTTCGTCATGCTTTGAATCTGAAAACTTTTATCCCAAATTAAGATCTAAAATAAATGTTCCTACTCATTTAAATATAAGTTAAAATAACTTTTGGGCATTGATTTGGGAAATAAATAGGAAAGAGCTGAAATATGTTTGTCATTTGGTAAATAATAAATTGTATCCATATTTTTTACTATCTTCCTAATTCTAAGAAAAATTCATTCATATTGGTAGATGCTATTTGAATTTTTTTGTAAACAGTTATCAAAATTATGTGGTGGCAATTAAGATCACACTAAAATATAAAAATAAAATTTAAATCTTAAGAAAAGGTACATTAAATATATATTATATAAAACTAGCAAAAACATATAAGATAAATATTTTAAACTAACTTTAGATTTTGATAATAGATGGGAGGTTATTACAGATTAGGCCTTTTTGAAGGGGCACTCTTGAATTTATTAAAAGAGATAGTTGATAAAGTCACATGCTATATGTATTCCGAAGTTTTAAAATTATTATATGCTAAATTACAATCTATTATTCTAGTTGAATGGAGCCTTGACCATTGGCACACTGGATGGGGCAAATGTGGAAATGATGGAGGAGATGGGCAGAGAAAATATCTTTATATTTGGCATGACTGTGGAGCAAGTGGAGGAACTATGGCGCAAAGGGTAAGGTTGAATAGCTCTGTCACACAATGGACCTACTTGTACCTTTTAAACTGAAGGATTTATAAATGTTTGAATTTCTTTGTTTTATACTCTTTTGCTCAAGTATGAGTCAGGGATATTTAAATATAACATTATCAACTGTGCCCCCTTTTTTCCTTGAAACTGGCATTTCCTTGACAAGATGATAATTATTGTGAGTTTGTCTTTTTAGCAAGGAAGTGAACTAACTCAGTGATTTTCTTTTATAGATATAACCCAAGGTCATACTATGAAAAGGATGCGGAACTCAAACAGGTGCTGGATCAGCTAAACAGTGGTTACTTTTCACCCGAAGAACCAGGACTTTTCTGTGATCTTTTCAATGGCCTGCTAAATAATGACAGGTGAGTCTACAGAATACTATAGAAATCACTTCCCATTAGTTGTTTGATAATTTCAATGTTTGTTATTAGTCACAACTTTTCAAAATAGCTTTTGTCACAACTTAACAGTGATAACACCTTACAATTGTTGTATGTCTGCTTTTCTTTTGCAATCATTCTTAGTCTCAACAGAAAATATGCATTGAAATATTAGGAGCAATATGTATGTTTAAGTAGCTTTTTATTTGCAACCTATAACTAATAATAGCTTACACATTTATCTTTCTCATGAGTGAGTGAGAAAAGAAACTCAACATTAACAAGAAAAGGCCCACTGCCTCCATGGGTACCTTCATAAAAGTGGCAACATAGAAATAGGGATTGATGGGTAACAAACATTTGGACAACTGTTACATGAGGGTTTCGAATTATTTATTTTGAATTAGAAAAGTAAACTAACTAATTTTTCATGTAACATGTATTTTCAGATTTGCCTTGTTGGCAGACTTCAGGGCTTATGTTGATTGTCAGTCAGAGGCCTCTGAACTTTTCAAGGTAAGTTAGCCTTGCTATACTTGGAATACCTGTATCATGGTCAAATACAGGTTGCCATGCCACCTGAATGTTTCTATGTGGCGCCTAAACTTTATATAACAAACAGACTGAGGGTGTTGGAGCACAATTCTCAAAGAGAAAAAGCGCACAGCAAGGAAAAGCAGAATTGACTCAAATCCAACTAGGACCCAAAACAATGTGTCTCAAACGTGCCGGAAAGCTTTCCAGGCACAAATTGGACTGGCAGACAATGTGCGCAATGACAGCCTTGGTCATCTTCAAATGCAAAGAACGAACAACAAAATAACAAAAAAAATTATTTCAAAATCTATCTCATATATATTACGCTTCTGGTGTGACTGCTTCAAACAAGCTGGTTGCTTCCTATTCAGGGTATTTGGTACTGAGATTATTTTTGTAGGTTTTTACTAAATCCTTTTTTTTTTTGTGACATATATTTGGGTAGAGGATGTGGTGTTGTTAATGTTGTTATGTCTTAGCAGGAGCAGCAGTGATGGCTTAGTTAGTAATGGTGTGTTAGTAATGGAGTTCTTTATTGAATAAAGAGACGTTTGCTACATGAATCATTGGTTTGTAAAATAATTACATATTATTCTCTATGTTTGAAAGAAAGTATGGTTCAATAGTGAGTTCCATAGAGCCCAAAATATAATTCCTAATAACTATGCAAAATGATTTTTTTTTTTTTTTAAAATCGCAATTGCATTTGGTGCGTAATATTTTCTTTTTCTGAAAATGAAATCATCTTAATTTAAATAGGGTGTAAAAAAAAATCCGTTTAAAAGTGCTTGGGAAACCAGAATATTAATATTTTATATGGGCGTGAATTAAAAAATTGGGCAATGAGGTGTCATGTGGGGAAGGGGTGTTGCAAAAATTGGGACTCTTAAATGTGCGTTACTTGAGTTGATGTTTTGTCAAGTAACTTTAGTAGATAGGAAGTTCACGCATTGTCAGCACCAATGTTTGGGGAGCTATAACTAGTATAAACCACTGCAGAACTATACCTGCTTTTAAGGTGTGCCATCCTTTCTATGAAAGCTTAGGGGGATAACTCCGATTAGAAGCATATTAAAAAAAAAACTTGAGTAAAAAAAAAAAAAATTGATACTGGCTATTTAATTGTTCTCTTTTATATCAAGTTTGAAAATGACATGAAAAACTAATATGAAAATGGGGTTATTTACTTCAAATTCAAGTATCAAAAGTTGAACATCGGTACATGTCACAAATGTAATCCCATCACCAGTCCATGTCTCTATAGCAACTACTGAACAGTTATTACTTTTTTTATAGTCTGAATCAAATTTTATTTCAATTTCAAAACCATCCTGAAGTCTTGGTTTGGTTCTTGATAATATTAATTTAGCTTTCCCTATGATTTTTTTTTTAACCTTATTCTTTTTAATTGAAAGAAATGTTTTTTTTCTCCATTTTTAGGATCCTATGAAGTGGGCAGTCAAAGCCAGTCTGAATGTTGCCTCCTCTGGAAAATTCTCCAGTGACCGAACCATCAATGAGTACGCCAGAGAGATCTGGGGTGTTGAGCCCTCCAATATCAAGCTACCCAACCCAGCAGACAAAGGCTCAGCTAAAGAAGACTAAATAGAGTGCAGACTAGTTTATCTAATCTCCTCTGTATTCTAGAGTTACTTAAACATGAATTTTTCCATTGTGGATTGGGCTACTTTGTCACCTTACTTTAGCCGCCTGGTTATAAAGAGCTGGTACATTATAAAATATTATAGCATTTAAAAAAAAAAAATCCAGTCCTGGTGGACATAATAGAATGTTTTTTTTTACTAAGTATTCCTACAAATTAAATTTTGTTTAAAGTGTTAAAAGTCAATGATACTGCCTTGATTGACAGTACTATGGTGTCTGGTATGACTTCCAAGGCTGTAGTGTTTATAACATTTTTTTATTTAAATCTCTTGGGTGTACCAACCAATGCTTGATATATTTGTTAAGGCTGGAACAAAACATTGTGGATACCTGTACAACTTTATAAAAGTGCATTCTTAGATGTTTGTTTAGTAACTGATGTTACATTGGCATAAATTTAGTTACATAAGCTCTCCACTTTACGCTAATGAAAACATACCAAGTCATAGAATTTGACATAGTTACAAATCTCAGCCTTTTTTTATAAATAAAATTTTGAGACACATACTTCCTTTTTTACAATAGCTTTTGGGCATCTGATGAAACCCAAGCTAAATATTATATTTGCTCTCCCCACACTGAGATAAACACTGCGACAAATAAACTTTTTCTCAGGAGCCCAACATTTTAAATTTGTGTTGTTTGTTTTTTTCCACATTGGAAATTTCAGGCTGGTGGGTGACATGGCAATTTTCTTGGGTTTTTTTTTAAAATGGAGTTGATAGGATGAGGTAAATTTGAATAAAAATTTATGCAAAAGAATGAATGACTCTAAAATGTGTGTGATAAATTGTTAAAGCAATTTTTTTTTAAAAACAATTGACCATTCATGGCACTACATTGTAAGAACAAGTGAATGTTGTAACTTATTTAGGTGTTCTCAAGTAGGAAATGGCAACAAAGAAAAAACAACAAAAACAACTAAGCTTTTTATCAAGACTCTACTAACAATTAATACTACATCAATACAAAGCAAGAGTTTTATGCTAGTGGTTGGAAATACTTTGCTCTGGGCGTGAAATTTCTTAATACCTGTTATAATTAGTGTTATATTATTGTTGAAATGAATCAAAGAAAACTGACTATGATTAAATGGGAGTAATACATCAACACTTCTTAATAGTTCATGTTTTCTTGTGGTTGAAATTAAGTTTTTCTACAAAGCTTATTTGAAATGTGAACAAAAGAAAATGTGCTCTCTGCATCAGTTATACATACAGTTTTTTTTTACAAATTGTACAGGCTATAATTTAGAGAAAATAAATTGCTTTTTTGGTTAAATAATTTTTCAGTTTCTTACTTTCACATATTTTTGTGAATTGAAACTTCTCATTTTTTTGTGTTGAAAAATACATTTCTGTTTTTGTTATTTTAATTTTTTTAGCCATGTGTAACAGTGCCATGGGATGAACCTTCTTGCAACGCCTATAATACTATGATTTCATTGTGGAGTGTGTCAGATCTAGCCAAACAGCCTGCAGTGATCTGTGGTCATCTTGGAGTATGCCAGCGCTATCCAAACTCACTGTTGTGTTAGAGTGGGATTTCCATGGACTGAGCTATTGTTTCTGTTACATTAATTATAAGGGTCAAAAGTGACCAGTCCCTCATCTGCTCTTTAATAGCATGTGTTTTAATGATTTTAAAAAAAAAAAAAAATTGCTTTCTCATTCCTTGTTTAAATCATAAAGTAATGGCTTCATCAAGGATAACTTGAGGTGTGTGATAGTACAATTCTTGAAATTTTTTTTTTACTTTGGGCTTTTTATTACATTTTTGTTTTCTTTGGCATTGACTTTTAAAAAGTAAGCCTTTACAGATGTATGTTTAAAAGAAGTGGGACAAATAAAATAAATGTGTAATCCCCTAGTTTTAATTGTCTTCTCATTGAATTTAGTTGACTGCTAATGGGGCATCTGTGGAGAAGGTAACCCAAATGTACACAGATCATGTCAGGCAGTTTGTGTGGTAGAGATGTTGTCTAAACCAAGTTAATGTTATATTGTAATCTGGATACCTGAAATGGCACCAGAAGAATTATAACCCTTAGGCTGATTCTATTCAGAATTTAGTTCCATGTGTCCTGCTGGTTTATTTATTCTATAGTTTTAATATTGTTTTAACTGGTTGCACAATGAGTACACCTAAACCTAATAAGTGCCCCCCTCAAAGGTCTCAGCTACTACATTTTGATATTTAGTGCAATGTTGTTGTTTTTTTGCTGTTTTTTTTTAAACATTTTATTTATTTGATTAAGAATTAAAAAGTTTCTTCATTTTTAATACAGAGAGGTTCTCACTTGAATTATTTGCTATTGGCACATTGTTGAAAATGAAAAGCTTCTGTTGCCATGTTCTAGCTGAAGAGTGAGCTGATCATTTAAACATGTTCAAGTTGGAGGTCATGTTTGCTGTTCCATGTCTGGTGTACATTAAGTCAACTTTTTCCCAATGATTATCACCTTTCCTACTGACAAGTATTTATTGGCTGATTCAACAACTTAGAATGTTCATATTCTTCCATTGACAAGGTTAATCTAACCTACCTGAGAACAAATCTTTAACTAAAGTAGTGGTTCTCCACTTATGGTCCACATTCACTGAAAGTTGAATGACAGGACAAGTCAAATAAAGCCTTGTTTCCCAATGGGTAAAAAAAAAAAAAAAGTAAAAAAATGATGATTTTGAATAGTTTCATTATTTGATTAATGATGTTGTACACTACTAGATCAGGGGCCTGTACTCCAGTCCATAATTCTCCCACACACTCAGTTAGGCTATGAACATTTGAAGGTGTCATACTTCCCATTTAAGTGTCACCAATCAAAATTGATACAGGTAATTCTATATATTTTAATTTAAAAGGTTGCATTCAAATAACATATTCTTTATAAAATGTTCTAATTTCAAGAAAGAAAATTTTTGTTCTTTCATGTTTTAAATTATTGATTGGATTTAAGGAAACAAACAAAAAAAAGCTTTATTGTGTACAAATTGTAAATAGACTTAGTTTAGAAATCCCTTTCCTAATCAGTATGTAACATAGTTTTAGTTGAATATATCCATACTATTTAAAGGTTTTTCTCCCATTCAGACCTATTCCATATGATGTATATAGGTCAGCAGTTTGAAAAGTCCTGTTGTGCAGGTCTCACCTGATACAACGTTGTTGGACCAGGTCAATGTTTTACTAGTTGTAGTAGTGATAGGCTCAGCTTGGTGTGATGTTTCTAGTGGACTGCTAACATCAGGTCAACAATGACTGTGCTATCATTGAACTGATGGAGGCTATTGAATGTCTTAGCTGCCTACACAATATAGCATTTAACTTCATGTAACTGTTAACTTAATGTAACTGTCCAATGGTTGCAGGCCCGTGTTCACCAGAGGTTTAGTGTTCCAATTTAACTTACAGGTGATCTGATGTGATATATCTTCTACAACTAGTTAAAAATATCTTGCTTCTTGCAATTGTTTTTCCCCCTTGGGCTGTGTGATAATGTTTCACCCCTGATATTGTCCATTTAATTGTATTTATTTCTGTTTATTTTGACTATTTCCTGCTGTACTCAACAGCGTGTAGACCTTTCTTTACATTTGCTATATATTTTAAATATCTTTTGTGATCAACTATTAAAAGTTGTTAATCAGAAGTGTGTTGGTCATTCTATTGTGTTGGTATGTTGTTAATTAATCTACTCATTTTAACGTAGGTAATATCTGATGTTTTTTTTTTTTTTTTTTGTTTTGTTTAAATACCTGCAAGAGGGACAACCTTTGGTAGAGCAACGTTTCATTTTCAGAATATGTAATTAGGTCCCTTTAACTTTTTTAATAAAGGAAAAATGATTATTATTTGATCATAAATGAGTTTTGATAAAAATCTGGAATCTAAAATATTTGATTTATAAAAATTATTAGTGTAAATATTCAAATATCTCACTCTTGAGTATTTCATCGTAAGACTACATCCTTTAGTGAGCTGCGCAAAGCCTTATTCTGATATAGTCTATAACATTATAACGGGCTTGTCATGGGAGCGCAGTTTATGTGATCGGTCCGGCACTGGGGATGAGAAAATAGTCCCACGGGGTCGCTGCGCGAAATAGGTTTGAAAACCACTGCTCTATATTAACCAATGAAATACACTGTTGTCTAACATACTTAAATAGGGCATATGTATTCTAATAGCAAACAGGATTGTTTTTTTCCCTATGTTAAGAATATGATGCAATACCAGGTCAAATTTAGATTAAATTATTTTTAACACTCCATTCTGCATGTCAGTATGACTCCTAGTTTACATGATACACCACGTGGGACGTAATTAGGACTAGCTCCCAGTTGACATGATACACCACCTGGGACGTAATTAGGACTAGCTCCTAGTTGACATGATACACCACCTGGGACGTAATTAGGACTAGTTCCTAGTTGACATGATACACCACCTGGGACGTAATTAGGACTAGTTCCTAGTTGACATGATACACCACCTGGGACGTAATTAGGACTAGTTCCTAGTTGACATGATACACCACCTGGGACGTAATTAGGACTAGTTCCTAGTTGACATGATATACCACCTGGGACGTAATTAGGACTAGCTCCTAGTTGACATGATACACATCCTGGAACGTAATTAGGACTAGTTCCTAGTTGACATGATACACCACCTGTGACGTACCTAGGACTGGCTCCTAGTAGATATGATACACAACCTGGGACGTACTTAGGACTGGCTCTTAGTTGACATGATACACCACCTGGGACGTACCTAAGACTGGCTCTTTGTTGATATGATGCGCCACCTGGGACTTGCTTAGAACTGGCTTCCAGTTGACATGATACACCACCTAAGACGTACTTAGAACTGGCTCCTAGTTGACATGATACACCATCTGGGACGTACCTAAGACTGGCACTTAGTTGACATGATACACCGCCTTAGACGTACCTAGGACATATTATGTTATTGTTACGCCGTAGTCAGGCTTCATTTCGTTGTTATCTCTCTTCACGTTTTCACGTAGCTACCACTTTTAATTTTCTCCTAGCTGTGTTGCCAGAACCAGACGACAGCCGCTCAACACCCCCCTTCCCCCCATTTGATGATAACCATCCTAGACTTCTGTTGTCTTCCTTTCTTCTTTCTCCTCCCCCCCCCCCGCAACAACATTTTTTATAGAAAAATATGTAAACGAGATGCTTATTAAAACATGACCTCATTGCAATAATTGTCTAGACTTGACATGACCTCATTGCAATAATTGTCTAGACTTGACATGACCTCAGTGCACTAATTGTCTAGACTTGACATGACCTCA